AGGTAGGAAATATTATAGATGAAGAATGGATCAGAGAGATGAAGTAACCTGCCTAAAGTCACACAGCCCATAAATACAAAGATTTGATAGGAAAAGAATACAATTAAAATCATTAGGCAAGGGGCATCATGAAATATTTAAATGTGTTGCCCAGAGTATTCCTGTTTTATGTGAGTTTCCTAGTTCTTGTCACATCGTAGGTTATAAAAATAATATTAATACTTGAGCATATACTTTGTGCTAGGCATTGTTTTAAGCCCTTGAAATAGATTATTTAATTTTCACAAAGATACTATCAGACTCATTTTTATAGAGGATAAAATTGATGTGCAAACATAGGATAACTTGTTTAAGAAAGTAGCAGGGCAAGTATTAAGAGTCTACACAATTGGACCCCAGTGTTCCTGCAGTATATAATACATTTGTGGGTTGTATTTAATTAATAGTGTACAAATGGAGAGAGAGACCATACTGTGGTGTTTCAGTATGCCAAACTCTTAACCATGAAAGTGACTAAGCTTGAAATTTAATTAATATGGTTTCTGGGTGTGTGGAGATCTTTCTTTTTATGGTTTTTGGCAGTAAAATGTAGATTCTCTAAGAATTATGTCAGGCTGTGTGGAATGTGGCTGTATTATGTGTTAAATTGTTTATGGCCCTGAGTTTACTGACCCTAACTCTTTTCCTCTTATTTGCTCACTAAAGTAGTGCTTATAATTCAAAGACAGTATAGTGTAGGGGAAGGAGCACAGTTGGAGTCATATATCTTGCACTTTAATCCCAGCACTATCAATTACTAGCTGTATGACTGTAGACAAGTTATATATTCTAGAACATCCCTTTTCTACAGAATGGGGAAATGAAACCTCTGGATAGGTTTAAGGAGTAAATGGGATGATACATATTTTTTTAAAATACCTGCTGTAGTACTGAGCACATGGCATGTGCTCAAAAAACTGTAACTGCCTTACTTTTACTAAACAAAACATATTCAGATTTAAGTACCATTTCTTTCCTTATGATTGTTCAAATTCCTAGAAGAACTCTGTACCTGACAACCAATTGGTAACCCTGACCTTTAGACTTTGAACCAGATATTGTAGAGTTCCTAAGTAAACTATGAGGAGAAATGCATGAATTCTTTATGGTGTTATGAGACTGTTTTGTATTGAACTTTTACAGAAAGATAATCCTATGCTTTATTAAAAGCAACAATGGGGGGCGCCTGGGTGGCGCAGTCGGTTAAGCGTCCGACTTCAGCCAGGTCACGATCTCGCGGTCCGTGAGTTCGAGCCCCGCGTCAGGCTCTGGGCTGATGGCTCGGAGCCTGGAGCCTGTTTCCGATTCTGTGTCTCCCTCTCTCTCTGCCCCTCCCCCGTTCATGCTCTGTCTCTCTCTGTCCCAAAAAGAAATAAAAAACGTTGAAAAAAAAATTTAAAAAAAAAAAAAAAAAGCAACAATGGTAAGGAAAACTCCACCTACTTGTATTTCTGGAATCCTATCCTGAATGGATAAATGAGTAAATGAATAAATGAATAATGTGCTAGTTGAAAATGAAAATAACAAGTATTGGAACCCTTGAGAAAATTTCTCCTATGAGGTAGTTCTTTTTCTGAGATATTTCCATTTTCTTTCTCAGTCATCATGTAGATAGTGGCAATTCATGATCTGATTTTGGAACAGTATATAAATAGAAAAAACAAATACACAAAAGGTCAGCAGTCTCTGCATATTCTGGGAACATTCTTTTAGCAATTCTGATTTGTAGTGTAATGCTTTTATTTTAGGGAAATAAATTACTTGAGTTCCCTTTATCCAAGAGCACTGCCTAACTAATAATATTTAATGACTAAGTAGGACTTCTGAGTATCATTGAAATTTACTTCAGTAAAGAAGTATTGAGAGGAAGGAAATAAATCTGAGCATCATTTTTAATGATGCAGTGTATATTTAACGACATTTCTGAAGAATCCTTTTTTCTTTAAATAAACTTTGAGATATAACTTACAGACCATAAAATGCACAAATTTTAAGTGTCAGATTTCATGTTTTGATATAAACAAACATTTGTGTAACCACTATATAAGAGAACATTTCTATCACTTAGGAAAGTTCCCTTTGTGTCCCTTTGTAGTCCTCCGAAGGACATCCAGCCAGTGATCTAATTTCTGTCACCATAGTCTGCTCTAGAAGTTTGTATAAATGAAATCCTACAGTGTCTAAACTTTAATGCCTGGTATTTCTTGCACAATATGTTTTTGAAAAATTTTAGATCTTTTTTTAATGCTTATTTATTTGTTTTGAGAGTGCAAGTGCATGAGTGGGGGAGGGACACAGAGAGAGGGAGAGAGAGAATCCCAAGCAGGCTCTGCACTGTCAGCACAAAGCCCAAGGTGGGGCTCAAACTCACGAAACCATGAGATCATGACCTGAACTGAAATTAAGAGTGAGAGGCCTTAACCCACTGAGCCACCCAGGTGCCCCTGTTCTTGAAATTTCTATTTGTTGTTGTATCAATGGGTCTATTAAGTGTTATTCCTGAATAGCATTCCACTGTATGAATATACCACGATTTCTTTGTCAGTTAACTGGTTGATGGAATTTTGGGTTGTTTCTAGCTTTTGCCTATTAAAAATCTGTGAATATTTTTGTATGTTTTTGTAGTTATATATATTTTTTCTCTCAAGGAGGGGCCGTGTGGTATGTCTGTGTTTAATTTTATTTTTTTCAACTTTTTTTTTTTTTTGGGACAGAGAGAGACAGAGCATGAACGGGGGAGGGGCAGAGAGAGAGGGAGACACAGAATCGGAAACAGGCTCCAGGCTCCGAGCCATCAGCCCAGAGCCTGATGCGGGGCTCGAACTCACGGACCGCGAGATCGTGACCTGGCTGAAGTCAGACGCTTAACCGACTGCGCCACCCAGGCGCCCCTGTCTGTGTTTAATTTTAAAAGAAACTTCCTATTTTCTACATGATTATACCATTTTATACTCCTACCAGAAGTGTGAGTTCTAGTTGCTCCACATCTCCAACACTTGGTGTGGTCAGACTTTTTAGTTTTAGCCATTCTAGTGGGTGTGTAATAGGTATTCCATTTGATTTTTATTTGCTTTTCTCTGGATAACTAATGTTGTTGATCATGCTTTCTTACACTATTTGGTCATTTATGTATTCCCTTTTGTAAAGTGTCCGACCATTGTTGAGTTGCTGTCCTTTTAGTATTGATTTTTAGGAGTTCTTTATATATTCTTGGTGTAAGTCCTTTGTTAAGTGTATGTATTAAGAATATTTTCAGCTCATGTATGGCTAGCCTTTTCGTCGTCTTAATGGTGTCTTTTGCTGAATAGATGTTTTTAATTTTGATTACGAGTTATTTATTTATTTAATTTATTTTTGGTTTGTGATTTTTTTGTGGCCTAGCCAAGAAATCTTTGTCTACCCCAAAGTTGCAAAGGTACTCCCCCTATATCTTCTTCTAGAAGAGTTTAGTTTTAGTTTTTATGTTTAGGTTAATGGTGTATCTCTGATTTTATTTTATTTATGTATTTTGTATTTCTCATTAATTCATGAACAAATATTTATTGAGCACCTGGTCAGTGCCAGGTATTGTTTAAGCACTTGGTATCCATTAGTAAACAAAAAGAAGTCGCTCATGGTAAGCCCTTAGAAAGGCCTTGCACTTGTGAAGCCTACATTTTAGGGGAAATGACAGACAATAAATTAATAAGTAAATAATATGTTATGGTAGAAGGTGAGAAAGCACCACAGGCTGGGGAAACACAATAGGGTCAGGTGAAGGTTAGTAAGATTTGCAGTTTTAAGAAAGGGTAAAAGTAAGCTTTCTTGAGAATGCCATTTAAGGAATGACTTGAAGAAGATGAGGGAGTTAGCCATTCATGTATTTGGGGGAAGAGGCTTCTGGGTAGAGAAAACAGCTATTAAAAGACCATAAGGTGGGAGTATGTCTGGCATGTCCCAGTAACAGCCAGGGACATGAAGTAGAGGGTGATAGTGGATAAGATCACAGAGATAGGGGAGGGAAAATTGTTTAGAATCTTATGGGACATTGTTAAGAGTATAGCTCTTTGTGTGAGTTCCATGGGAAGTCATTTGAGGGTTCACTATACTTAAAAGACATTTTATTTATTTTTCTTTTTTAATATAATTTATTGTCAAATTGGCTTCCATATAACACCCAGTGCTCATCCCAACAAGTGCCCTCCTCAAAGCCCATCACCCACTTTCCCCTCTTCCCCACCCCTCATCAACCCTCAGTTCTCTGTATTTAAGAGTCTCTTATGGTTTGTCTCCCTCCCTCTCTGTAACTGTTTTGCCCCTTCCCTTCCCCCATGATCTTCTGTTAAGTTTCTCAAGATCCACATATGAGCGAAAACATTTGGTATCTTTCTCTGACTGACTTATTTCACTAGGCATAATACCCTCCATTTCCATCCATGTTGCTGCAAATGGCCAAATTTCATTCTTTCTCATTGCCAAGTAGTATTCCATTGTATATTTAAACCACATCTTCTTTATCCATTCATCAGTTGGTGGACATTTAGGCTCTTTCCATAATTTGGCTGTTGTTGAAAGTGCTACAATAAACATTGGGGTACATGTGCCCCTATGCATCAGCACTCCTGTATCCCTTGGGTAAATTCCTAGCAGTGCTATTGCTGGGTCATAGGGTAGTTCTATTTTAATTTTTTGAGGAACCTCCACACTGTTTTTCAGAGCGGCTGTACCAGTTTGCATTCCCACCAACAGTGCAAGAGGGTTCCCATTTCTCCACATCCTCTCCAGCATCTATAGTCTCCTGATTTGTTCATTTTAGCCACTGTGACCAGTATGAGGTGGTATCTCAGTGTGGCTTTGATTTGTATTTTCCATTAAAAGACATTTAAAACCACACTTATGTTTTCCTGAATACCACTCAAGAGATTTCATATTACTGTTTCTTTAGATTTGTCACTTCATATCTGCTTAATAGGAATGAAAGCATGTTTTTTTTGCCTGACACGTACATATATTTAATATTGGTTTTCTTATTCCAGAAAGATCCGGATTATCTGAAGCTATGGTTGGACAATTTTGTTTCTAGCTATGAACAATTCTTAGATGTTGACTTTGAAAAGCTGCCTACCAGGTATGTAGAAACAGTGCCCTCCTTAATGCCTCTTGCCCATTTAGCCCACCCCCACACCCAATACCATACCAACCAACCCTCAATTTGTTCTCTGTATTTAAGAGTCTCTATGGTCTGTCTCCTTCTCTATTTTTATCTTATTTTTGCTTTCCTTCCCATATGTACATCTGTTCAGTTTCTTAAATTCTTCGTATGAGTGAAGTCATGGTATTTGTTTTTCTCTGACTGATGAACGCACTATGCTTACAAGTATGGTTTTATTATAGAGGCCTTAGAAAATATCGTGGAAGAGGCGAAGTTTTCAAAGCTGGATTTAAATATCATAAAATGGGAGAAAAATTCAAATTTTGTGGAAAAGTGCAAGTGAAAGTATAAGATCACTTCCCAGGTGAAGTTTTTACTGTATATGAAACCATCTTGAAGACCTTGTAGATGTTAGGTAAGAAAGGTCAGGTTGGCTAGGGTAAAAAGCTGGAGAAATGAGGAGGCACTAAACACTTTTAGCCACAAAAGGAACTCCATTTTATACATATATTGATATGGAAGGGGAGAAATGGGTGGTGGTTGACGATGAGAAAGAGTATCGAGAGAATTAAAAATCTTCAAGGAGGAAAGTGCAGTTTGGGGATGTACATACGCAGTAAGAGGATGGGCATGGATGAGTAGAGTCTGGAGAATCAGGAGCCAGATCATGAAATGCCATGCATGCATTGCTAATGGACTTTGATTTTTTGTTATGGAAGATATGAGGCTCTACTATTTTCTGCATGAGATTGTCATGATCGGGTTTGTTTTTTAAAAGTCCCTTTGGTAGCAGTAGGAGGTTGAATTGGAAAGAATTGAGACTGAAGACAGGGAAGCCCAGTTAAGAGGCAATTTTAATAATTCAGAGAAGAAATCATTAGAGCTTTGGACCAAGGCACTGAACTTAAAAGATGTGCTTAATGCTCAGAAAGCACTAGTGCTTCATTATTTATAAGTATCGTTTCAGAGTTCTGTATTAGACTATTTATAACAGGTTTTAAATGTTGAAAAATGTTAAATCTTGAGCTCAAAACAATATTACATATTATTGATTTCTACTCTTCAAAGAGTATTTTTATAGTTTGTGCTTAGAAGTGCTTTTATTTTAATAATTTGCAGCTCACATTAAAACATGAGCCTAACAGGGCACCTGGGTTGCTCAGTTGTTTAAGTGTCTGACTCTTGATTTTGGCTCAGGTCATGATCTCACAGTTTGTGAGATTGAGTCCTGCATCGGGCTCTGCACTGACAGCTCAGAGCCTGCTTGGGATTCTCTCTCCCTCTCTGCCTCTCCCCTGCTTGCATGTACATGTTCCCTCCCTCCCTCCCTCCCTCCCTCCCTCCCTCCCTCTCAAAATAAATAAGTAAACATGAAAAGAAAAATAAATCATGAGCCTAAGGATTTAATGGGAGTCAGGATTTGGGCCTTTGAATGCTTGGAATATTGGAATGAAGTCTTCTCAGGTTTGTAAAATGCACTTGTTATACATGTCTTCTTTCTTGGGAGGTCATTTCTAAAAACATTGTGTAGAAGTATATCGGCACTATATTTAAAATCAGATGAAAAATGCCAGCACATTGCTTTATTCATGATTTAGTTGGCTTATTTAAAATTTTATTGCAAATCTGCCAGGAAACTACACCATGAATTTAGATTTTACTAATAGAAAACTTCTAGTTTTCAAGTGAATACTTTGTGGCAGATGTATAAAACTAGTCAATTCATCTTAAAGATAAGAAACTCATAGATAATCCTCATTTAAATTAAACTGACTTTCTAAAACTTCTAAGTTAGGGAATTTATAATGCAAGACAAGGAGTGCTTTTACCAGAATTTAAAGCCTTGAGATCTAAGCTGGACTTTTTCCTGTGTTAGATGGAGACAACAATGGGCAGCTGTTTAATACAGACATTCAGTAGCCAAACAGAAGAGTGGAACAGATTTCTGGAGATTGGGAAATTTCAGCAAAAGGAGCTTAGTATTTGGAGGCAATAAAGTACTGGTAGTGGGAAAATGCTTCCAAATTCTTAAATCTTCATCACATTAGGAACATGGCCAAAAATTTCAACTTTACCTCTAAGTTATGTTCTAACCAAACCCAAATTTTATAATGAGTGTTAGTAAAAACAACAATAGATTTCTCTTCTAGAAGCTAACTTTTTCCTGTCTAGTAAAATTTTAAAAAATGCAAATAGAAGATGGGACAACTCAGGAAAAAGGGAACTCATCCTTTAAGTAACTAGGATTGAATATTAGGAAGTCTCATGTTTCTTTGTTGACTTATGTTTTGGGAAAAGTGAATAGGGATAGTTTAGGTTAGTGAAAATCAGTTATATTTTTAAATTTAAATGTTTATTATTTTGAAGTACTTTGGTTTTTCTAATCACCTCTTTTTAGCTCTTTAGTAGGAAAAAAGTATATATAAAAATGAGTTTTTCTGGTACCACCTATAAATAAGAGAGAATGAAAGAATCCAGAATACAAGTGAAGTGATGCCCAGATTAAAATGAAACATGTGTTTTTGTGATGTGGTTATAGAATTTGGCAACCTTGATAATGTGCTTTGTGAGTTCTGTATAAAAGTCAAGTGTTTATCTTATAAAGCACTTTATGTTGCAGGGTGGTCAGAAAGAGGCTAAAAATATTAACATATATATTTATGAGACTATTGGTAATGTGCCTCAAATTTTTCTGGCTACAATGAATAAAATAGCTTTATACTCAGTATAAAAATAGTAGTAAGTCTTCATATTAAGCCTTATCTGAAGAAGAGACTATTATCAAGTATAATTGTCATTTAATTATAGGAGCTCTTCATGGTGCTCCTTTGTGTTTGGGTATTTTTCTTTCTTTCTTTATTTTGAGAGAGAGCGCACACACATGGGGCGAGCGTGAGTGGGGGAGGGGCAGAGAGAGAGAGAGTCCCAAGCAGGCTTTGCACTGTCAGTGCAGGGCCCATTGCAGGGTTTGATCTCACAAATTGTGAGATCTCACGGTTTGGGAGATCATGACCTGAGCTGAAATCAAAAGTCTGACACTTAACCAACTGAGTCACCCAGGTTCCCTGTGATTGGGTATTTTTCTGAATAGAGATAGGAAAATTAGTATTTAGTGGTTTATGAAAAGATTCTTAGGCTTTAGTGATGGTATATTTAAAATATATTACATTTTTATAGTTCCTTACATATATCATAGCTAAAAATGTACATTGACTTTTGGCTTCAGAACCCTGTGAAATAGGGCAGATGATATTATAATTTTAGAGATTAGGGCACCTCAGAGATTAAATTAATGCTTCATGGGACAGAGGTGGAACTTAAGTACACAGGTCTTTTCACTTTGATTCCAGGGGAATTGTGAGAGAGAATAGCCAGTCATATCCAGTGTTGGTTTTTTCTGTAAAGAAACTGATGGTCGTCTTATCCAAAAACCAGTTGTCACAAAATATTGAAATGTTACTTAAACAAAAAAACTTAGAAAAAAATTGAAATGTTACTTAAAAATGTATTAATGTGGGGTACCTGGGTGGCTCAGTCGGTTGAGCGTCTGACTTTGGCTCAGGTCATGATCTCGCAGTTCATGAGTTCAAGCCCCGCGTTGGGCTCTGTGCTGAGAGCTCAGAGCCTGGAGTCTGCTTCAGATTCTGTGTCTTCCTCTCTCTCTGGCCCTCCTTGCTCATGCGCGCTCTCTCTCTCTCTCTAAAAAATAAACATTAAAAAAAATTTTTTTAATGTATTAATGCTCCTGCTTGGGGTTCTCCATCTGTTTATCTATTCATCTGTTTATCTGTTTATTTCCTTTCCTTGTGCTGGTTATCTTCTCTCCCTCTTCTGACCACATAGCTTGGGAACCTATAGGTACCTGAATATTGTTTATTTAGTAAAGCAGTTGACAGATACTAAACTAGTTATAGGTACTTCATTTTTATTTGCTAGTTATTGTTTCTTTTAGAAATGGTATACACACATACATATATACACATAGATTTTATTTCTAAGTAGACGTTGAACTAATTTACATTCTAAAAATTTTATTTGAAAATAGCACAATTGAAGGTAGTAAAGAGACTCTCTTTCTTACTCTCTTTTCTGTAAGCCTCTTCTGAAGTAAGACTACTTACTCTGCTCTACTAATCTTCTAAAGTGTCACACTGATCTTCTGGTGGTGCCTTGCAGAGAAGGCACTGAGCACCTGAAATAAAAGAGCTTCTTAGGAATTTGAGGTGAAAATGCAATTGTTTTAAACTGCCAAAGATTTTCTTCCTGTACTTAATCACCCTTCTTACTTTTTCCCCTTAATTGTAGGGTAGATGATGTGCCTCCAGGAATATCTCTACTTCCTGATAATATTCTGCAGGTTCTAAGGATCCAGCTACTACAGTGTGTTCAGAAAATGGCAGATGGGTTAGAGGAACAGCAACAAACTTTGTCAGTTTTGCTCGTCAAGTTCTTCATTATTCTTTGCAGGTACCTGTATAAACAAACTAGCTATCTGTTTTAAATAATTATCAAAAGAATAATGCATTTATTATTATTAATGGTGTTTATTGCTCATTTGGAGCTTTAAAGATTGTGTGCACCTTCTGTGAAAGGCTTTTGATTTATTATATTGGAAAACCATTTATTTGTTTGTTTATTTATTTATTTATTTATTTATTTATTTATTTATTTAGTGGGTTAAAGTAGGCTCCATGCTCATTGTGGGGCTTGAACTCACAACCCGATACCAAGAATCACATGCTCCACTGACTGAGCGAGCCAGATGCCGCTATTGGAAAGCCTTTTAGTTACCATACTTAGTTGTACAGAGATTCAGCCAAGATTAAAAAAACAAAAATTGCTGTAAGACAGTGATGGGAGTTCTTACCTAACCCAAGAATTTGTTGCACCTGTATTTTCTGTGTGGTCCTCACCTGTAAACCATACATACATTTTTAGTGCTGTGCATTATCATTTGTGAAATGTATATTTCTAATCTTTTTTTTTTTTCAACGTTTATTTATTTTTTTGCGACAGAGAGAGACAGAGCATGAACGGGGGTGGGGCAGAGAGAGAGGGAGACACAGAATCGGAAACGGGCTCCAGGCTCTGAGCCATCAGCCCAGAGCCTGACGCGGGGCTCGAACTCCCGGACCGCGAGATCGTGACCTGGCTGAAGTCGGACGCTTAACCGACTGTGCCACCCAGGCGCCCCTCTAATCTTTAATTTTATAATTTTGCCAAAGAAAGTATAATTATTTTATAGCCTGTATTTTCCGGGTTGATAGCTGATTAGGTCTGTGGTACTTAAATGTTTTTTTTTTTTTTTTCAACGTTTATTTATTTTTGGGACAGAGAGAGACAGAACGCGAGAGCGGGGGAGGGCAGAGAGAGGAGACACAGAATCGACAGGCTCCAGGCTCTGAGCCATCAGCCCAGAGCTGGCCAGCGAGAACTCAATCCGATCGACTGAACGGATGACCTGGCTGAAGTCGGACGCTTAACCGACTGCGCCACCCAGGCGCCCCTGTGGTACTTAAATTTTGATGTGTATAAGTATCAACTGGGAAGCTTAATAGGAGTACAGAGCTTGAGACTTACTTATGAAAATTCTGACTCCAAAGAGTTTAGGCAATCTAATTTTTCTTGAATTCAACATTAACCGGCATATATGAATTTAAGAACGGTTGGGTTAGGGGCACTGTATGCCTCCTCTTTTGTTTTTGGAATACATTTCTTATAGTATGTACTATTTTTTTAATAAATATTTTAGAATTAATTAGTAGTCAAACAGGGACTTAATTTACTGTGCATTTATTCACCTTTCCTTCATTGTTCATTGCGTTTGATTGCAGGAATCATGGAAAAATTGAGTAATTATTGCTAAAACGTTTCTTTCCTAATTTAGGCTCTTCCAGAACTGTAGACACTTTGCTGATTTTGTGCTCTTTATCATCCTTAAAATTTAGAAAAATAATACAAGAATTAAAACAGTTGAGGAAAAAGGGTTTACTTAGGAGATAAGACATGAGTTGGTGTGTTGATTTTTGTCCTGTTAATTACTTAGTACAATTTTAAAGAAATCAGATATCCTGTAGATAAATAACTGTTTCTCTTTTGTTTCTGCTTTGTGATATTTTTCAATTTTTCTATAATAAATAAATGTTGATCAGCATGTACTTCTTAAATGTTTCTGCTTATAGTAGTAGTTAAATGTTGCATGAGGTGTATTTTACAGTTTTAGTGGGAAAGCAGTTATATAACCATATTGATTTTATGTTTTAATAAATGTCATTTACATTTCATTTGCCAACATGTATTTTCAAAATTCATCTTGAATACATGAGCATACATTTTTCTCATTATTCATGTGTAATAAATATTCTTTGTTTTTCCTCACAGAAATCTGTCTAATGTGGAAGAAATTGGGACTTGCTCTTACATTAATCATGTCATCACTATGACAACACTCTACATTCAGCAAGTAGGTGTGAATTAATATATTCCTTTTGTTGCTTTACTGAGAGTAACTAGGTTTTCCTTTTTTTTAATATTATAATTAGTAAAGTTAAATGTTTTTAGAGGAGGTAATAATTGAGAAGAGAATTAAAGTTACCATTAGGAACTATATATTTTAGACATCTTAAAACATATTATCTAAAAGAGAAGCAATTGTTAATATATTTTATTTTAATCAAAAATTACTGTTTTATAAATGGCTTTTTACAATGATATAATTTGTCAACTTATGTATTATTTATCATCAAATATTCCTCTTATTGAAAACATATTCTTTTTTGCAAAGATGATTGGGTATCCATTTGAAACTCTTCCTAGGCCATATTTAACATTTGAAGGGTTATATCTAGTCCATATGATTAACTGACTCTTTAAACTCAGTTGGAACTTAGGTTTATTTGAATAAAAATGATTTATTAGATGATCAATGAAAGGTGTTGTCTTTTAATGATGTAGATAAGAATGTTAAGCAGTTTTAACATTTTTAACTAAATACAATTTTATGTTTAACTCTACTTTCAGTTAAAAAGCAAAAAAAAAGAGAAGGAATTGGCAGATCAGACATCTATTGAAGAATTTGTAATCCATGCATTGGCATTTTGTGAAAGTTTATATGATCCATATCGGAATTGGAGGCATAGAATTTCAGGGTATGTCTTATAAATCATAATGTTCACTTAAAACCTTAATGTCGTAAATATATGTAATTCTTCAATGCAGGTCTTATTCTCTATGAAAAAAATTGGTAAGATGTGTATAAGAGCCCTATCTCTATCTCAGATAGAAAGCTATATTGGAAGTAATGAATTAGTAAAAACTGCCACTTCCAGATAAATAATTTACTCAGAATTTTTATTTTGTAATGCAGTTGAATGCTAATAATCAGATAGTGGCGGAGGGGCAGAGAGAGAGGGAGACACAGAATCCGAAGCAGGCTCCAGGCTCTGAGCTGTCAGCACAGAGCCCGAAGCGGGGTCGATCTCACGAGTGGTGAGATCATGACCTGAGCCGGTCAGATGCTCAACTGACTGAGCCACCCAGGCGCCTCTCCAGGTTCCACTTAATATTCACTATTGGTGAACCCAACAGTTGAGTACCTGGAAAAAGAGAAGTATTGTGTGCAGAGTGCCTGTCACAGCCTTACAAAACAGATAGAATATAGGATGATGGGTTTGCAGCTTAATGACAATAGTTAATGACCAGTTCAGGGCTCAAAAAGAAGAGTGCTCCATTTATAGTCTTTCTACTCATTCATCACTTTGGTTCTTGACTAATCAATGTTCTTTCCACCCCCACCCCTCCCACCACCAAAAAGGCTTTATTACATACAGAGAGGATGGGTTCATTCCTTCTTGGCTGCTGCTTTCCTCATGGCTGCCAGGTTGCTCATCTTCTCTCTCTTCCTCTTAGAGAGTGTGTGTGTGTGTGTGTGTGTGTGTGTGTGTGTGTGTGTGTCTCCCTACCCTTTTCTTTTAAAAAAAAAAATTTTTTTTTTAATGTTTATTTATTTTTGAGACAGAGAGAGACAGAGCATGAGCAGGGAAGGGGCAGAGAGAGGGAGACACAGAATGTGAAGCAGGCTCCAGGCTCTAAGCTGTCAGCACAGAGCCCGACGCGGGGCTCGAACTCACAAACTGTGAGATCATGACCTGAGCCGAAGTCGGACGCTTAACCGACTGAGCCACCCAGGCGCCCCTCCCTACCCTTTTCTTGGTGAACCTGAGAGCATTCTTGTCCTTGGAGACCTTGAGCAGCTCTATGGCAGCAGCTGTGCCTTGGCTTGCTCACATTCTTAGTCACTTTGTGGCCTTTGTTGAGGCCCACGTCTATAGGGTGGCTGCTGCTCCGCAGTACTCAAGCCAGTTTTCTCTCTATTTTGACATTTATGCCAGGGATTGCTTAAGAAAATGGCATCTCTTGCTCTCACTCTTGGTACTTCTACATCTTCCACCTTAGATATGTTAGTAATGGCAAATCTAAGATAACGTTTTAAGTTTTGAAACAATGACAGTTTTTCTTTGTAAACAGCAAGACATATACAGAAAGAGGAACATAAAATCAGTCTGAAAATGACAGGAGAGGTTTTTAAAGGAATCTTAAGAACAAAATAAATTTAAGTTGGGAGAAGGAGGGGCGTCTGGGTGGCTCAATCGGTTAAGGGTCTGCCTTTGGTTCAGGTCCTGATCTCACAGCTTGTGAGTTTGAGCCCCATGTTGGGCTCTGTGCTGACAGCTCAGAGTCTGGAGCCTGCTTCTGTTCCTGTGTCTCCCTCTCTCTCTGCCCCTCCCCTGCTCGCTCTTGCTCTCTCTCTCTCTCTCAAAATTGAATAAACGTTAAAATAATTTAAAAAATAATAAAGTTGGGAGGAGATAAGATACAAAAAAGTAGATGTGACAACAAACTAAAACAAATAAAATTGGTAAAAGAAAACAAAAACAACTTTTGAGAGCCAACAACAAGAAGAAATTTAAACACTGTAGCATAGAAAGAGAATTCTACATATATAAGATGACAACAGGAAGAGGAACAGAGAGTAGGGGATCAGTGGTGGCATTCATGAGTGTGTGTGCAATATACATGCCAGGAATTATGCTGGAAGCTGTCCATGTATTATCTCTAATAAATGTAATAACATTTTGCTACTAATGGTAGGAACTACATTAGAGGTAGATGGTAAAGCAGAGGTTCAGACTCCGCTTACTTTGACTTTGATAGGGAAATGAAACATACTGCAAATAAATACTGGAATTAGGAAAAATCTATAGCTCATGGGAGATCTATATGAGGGAGCTATAGCAGTAACTTATACCTTATAAATTAATCTGATTCTGAAGTTAAGTGGAAACTTGGAATGTATATATTTTCTTATTTATTATTTCTGTTTGTTGCTTACAGAGGCATTTAAAATACCTTGTTTCATAAAATATATAGATTTTTTTCATATCTCCATATGCAATTTGATTTAATTGAATAGATTTGATTAATCTATTGCTTCAGTTTTGATTCTGTTTGTAGCATTTTACTGATTTAGAAAGATTTTGTCAAGTGTAACTAAGATAGGTGTAGGGAAAGAATTCTTCCCTGAAAAGGACTTACTCAATTCAAGCATTTATGTAGAAGTATATTTATCAAGTTTCTACTTTGTGCCCAGTGTAAGTTTAGTAGGACTCATTACCTGCCCAAAGATAAAAACAAGTTAATTAGATTTAGTTATGCCCTGGGGCTCCTACTGGCCAAATCTAAGACAATGGATATATGAAAATAATTAATTGTTGTAAAGAATTATAAACTGACTCAATTGGTAGAGGCTGTGATTGTTGATCCCTGGGTTGTGAATTTGAGCTCCACATTGGATGTAGTTGAGTTTACTACTAAAAAAGAAGAATTGGGGCACCTGGGTGGCTCACTTGGTAAGCGACTGACTCTTGATTTTAGCTCAGGTCATTATCTTATGGTTGGGAGATGGTGCCCTGTATTGCTTTCCCTGCTGAGTGTGGAGCCTGTGTATGGTTCTCTCTCTCCCTCTACCCCTCTCCCTGCCCCCCCACCCCCTCAAATTAAAAAAAACAAAACAAAAAAAGAATTATAAACCATTCATTCAGAAAAAAAGGAATTAATGAGTCCATACCAGTAATAGATGATAAGTAGATGATAAGTAGGGTGGATGGAAGGATGAATGGATGGATGGATGGATGGATGGATGGATGGATGGATGGATAGATAGATAAAGGGAGAAGGGAGGACACTTGTTTATAATAGAAGGCCAAATGACAATTAGTAAATGTATAAGGGGTGTTGGGAAAAAAATCAGCATTTTACACAAATTATAAGGGAAGATATGGATCAGGATTGTAAATCTAGGGAAGTTTTGGTAAGCAGCATGATTTTTGCATGGTTTTAAAATGCTTCGCCAAAGATTACTTCTTAATTGCAAAAGAAAAATTAGTAATTATTTTGTGCAGTACTGGATAGTACATTGACTGGATTATCAAAATTAACATCAGTGAGAAGCACATGGATATCTGGGCCTCCAACTGTGGTGCTCCAAGGACACGTTATTGCTTTTATAGTATTCCAACCAAGAATGCATAATCTGAATCTAATTGAATGGAAACATTAAGGAAACCCAAAATGAAGAACATTTTAATGAATAAAAGGAGGGAGTGTGGGACAGCATTCTTTAAAAATATCATAAATGTTTCAGGTTGAAGGAGGGAAAAAAGCCATGACAGCTAAATGTAATATCTGGATAGGAAGCTATACTAAGAGGGGGAGAAAATGCTATTAAGGATATTCTTTGGTCATTTGACAAAACTGAATTATGAATGGTAGGTAAATGTATTATGTTACATGTATAGAAATTTATAATTATACTGTGTTATTGTGTAAGATACTATCCCTTTTCTTAGCAAGTATTCACTTAAGTATTCAGAAATGCCAGAATGTACATAATTTCCTTTTAAATGCTCTGAAAAATGTTATATGTGTGAATATATGTATATATAAATACATGTGCACTGTATATATGGGGAGAGAGTAAGCAAATGATAAAGCATTTGGGATAAAATTTTAACAGTGAACCTGAGTAAGATATATTTGAAGTTCTTTGTACTATTTTTATTCTTGCAACTTTTGCGAGAGCTTGAATTTATTTCCAGATTAAAAGTTTAAAGATTAAGAAAGATAGTTATGTCCTAGGCATGATGGCAGCACAAAAAAGAAGCACAAAATAATTGATCAAAGGACATGAACTTAAAAAACTAAGATGCAAACTCATTTTGCAGTCCTTAGAAGATTGGTATGTATTAGCATGTCCTAAGTGCTAGATGCTTGACCCAAATATCAGATAATGATGAAACAAGTAGGCTGTGTTCTAAAAATGGTACAAGACTAAGTTCATTTTTAGTTCTTCTGTCTTATCCTATTGAAAACATGTAGTGCAGACTACTCATGCTTTAATGTTTTTGTTATGTATAACGGTTTTCATCCCTTTTATTTATGTTAACATATTAAATTTTGCTACAACAATAATGGGAACTGTATGTTCGTAGTTACATTTAATACAGCGCCTTTAGAATGAGTCATGAATCACAAATTGTGGGAGTATATTTTTATTGTGTTACTAAAGTGACAGCTTTTATTGTTTGTAGCATAGTAGTTGGATAGGATATTTGGATAGGATATATCCAGTCTATTAGTTCATACCATAACTTATAATAAATAGGCAAAATGTAAATAGCCTCATGGAAAAACCTAACTGAAAGGTAAATCATCCTTTTAAAATTAATTTTTCTATCATATTACTGAGTTTTTTTTAAAGGCGTGGCTAAATTTTTAATTTGAAACTCTAGTAATATTTGTGTTGTCTTAAAGGTATACAAAAAAATCTCAATAATAGTACTATTTAAATAGAAAGATCCAATAGTGTTTGAACTTAAAATAAATACAGGGGTGCCTGGGTGGCTTAGTTGGTTAAGCATCTGACTTCAGCTCAGGTCATGATCTCACAGTTCATGAGTTTGAGCCCCATGTTGGGTTCTGTGCTGACAGATCAGAGCCTGGAGCCTGCTTCGGATTCTGTGTTATCCTTCTGTTTCTGCCCCTACCCCGTTCACGCTGTCTCTGTCTCAAAAATAAACATTAAAAAAAAAAATTAAAATAAATACAAAATGTGATAATTCTTCTGCCTTCTCCACAATGAAAATAGGCACAGATTTGGAAAGCACTGCAGTACCAGATGGTGTCTGATATGATTTCTGGTAAATCTGCATCTTAGAACTCTTTACTCTGCCATTACTGAGTCCAGCTGTGCCTGTCTTACTGGCTTTTTCTGTGGTCAGTTGACTTTTCTTCCTAGCTTTGAATATAAGGAAAGTAATTCTAATATCTCAATTATGGTTGTTAAGAAGAAGTCATCTTAATCCATTGCTTTATCAGTAGATCATATTTAGATGTATGGAATTTTCTCTGTGGCTGTTTTTCAAAAACTTTTCATTTTTGTTGTCTTTCTCTAACAATGTTAAGAGTTTTTTCAGGGCATTAAAAAAATAAGTTTTTTTATTTTTGTTAATTTTCAGCAGTTTACCAGTTGGATGTATCATTGTAACAATAGCCTTTATACTCCCAAACCCACACTGCATTGTCCATCTAAGAGATTCATTCTGTGTTGAAATGTTCTTGGTAAAAGCACATGCTATTTGTGTTGGCCCACCGAAGTCTGTAGAAAATTTTCAGCCATCAAGACTACTGGAATTATCATTATAATAAAAATTAATCCCAGCCAATACTAGATCTACATACTTAAAATGGAAGAAGACCATGGCATGGATTCTTTGTGTCCAGATGAAATTTCAGGAAGTGGCAAAGTGTGGCCTGATTTCTGATGAATTTAGCTTGTACTGTGGTAATGTACTGTGGTAATAAGCTCCACAGCCTTAGATGTCAGATTAACAGTACTGCTGAACAAGTTCTTTTATAGATTGGAGATTTTATTTTATTTCAGTTTATTTATTTTGAGAGGGAGAGAGAGAAGGGGAGGGGTAGAGAGAGAGGAAGAGAGAGGATCCTAAGCAGGCTCCACACTGCCAACACAGAGCCAGACATGGTGCTCGAACTCATGAACCATGAGATCATGACCTGAGCCCAAACCAAGAGTCAGACTCTCAAATGACTGAACTATCCAGGGGCCCCTACAGATTGGAAATTTTATTTAAAAAAATTTTTTTTTTACTGTTTATTTTTGAGAGAGAGAGTCCCAGAGCGTGAGAGGGGAGAGGAGCAGAGAGAGAGAGAGGAAGACACAGAATCCGAAGCAGGCCCCAAGCTCCAGCTATCAGCACAGAGCCTGACATGGGACTCAAACCCATGAACTGAGATCATGACCAGAGCTGAAGTCAGATGCTTAACCAACTAAGCCACCCAGACGCCCCTACAGATTGGAAAACTTAAATGCCTAGTTCCTTTTTCTATTTCCAGTTGTTTAGAGACTTAACCTGGCTGCTGTGTTTCACCATGAATCATTTAAAAATTTTTTTCTTAATTCAAAAGAAGAAATCCTTTCATTGGTGAGCATTTAAATTATTGGCTAGACTTCCTTTTCAAGATTATGCCAGTCCTAGAGATGTATTTTTCAGTACCTAAATAAAAAGTAATATACTAAATTTATATTGTTTCTGTAATTATGCCATCTCTACTTGCTCATGTTATAATTTGTTATTAACTTCTTTTTAATAATAGACGAATCCTTAGTACTGTGGAAAAGAGCAGACAGAAATACAAACCAGCTTCTCTCACAGTGGAGTTTGTCCCTTTCTTTTATCGTAAGTATTAGTCCTAATTTCTCTTTGATTTTGATGTTACTCTGATCATTATTTATGCTTAAATTCTTTTTCTGATTGTGCTTGATTCAGCTTTGTGTATTTGTAAGATAAAGATTGTAAGGACCTATCACTGGAGTACTTGATTCGTATTTTGCTGTGATTAGTGTTCTTCGTCTTACTTAATTTACTGTTCTGAAAGTGTTTTTATTTAGAGAAGAGCTTAATATTTTAATGACTGTAGTATAGAACTTCAGAATTTTTACAGAAATAGAGGGGCGTGGACGCCCAGCCAGTGCATGACCACTGCCCAGGAGCCTGAAACCAGGGCCTCCTGCCCAGGTGATAAATACCTGGCTGGGCTGTGAGCTGGTGTTGGCCTTGGGGATGAGGCCTTCCTTTTGCAATTGGGGCTTTTCAGAGCTTGAGTGCAGGCTGGGCCCAGGCTGAGTTTCGGGGAGGGGACCAACAGGTTTGCTCACCCCACAGGTGGATGGAGTAAGGGCAAAAAGAGCTTTGCGTTTTCCTTCTCTTCCACCTCTGATACAGAATTGGATGCTGTGGTTGGATTTTATTATCATGGATTAAGAGTTCAGCTATTAAAGAAAAATTTTATGAACAAGCACTCCCAGGAATTTGAAGACATGGGAGAGAATAAATTCACCTGCACACCTATTTGGTTTTTTTTTTTTTTTAGTGTTTATTTATTTTTGAGAGAGAGAGAGCAAGTGCACGTGAGTATGAGCGGGGGAGTGGCAGAGAGATGGGAGACACAGAATCCAAAGCAGACTCCAGGCTCTGAGCTGTCAGCACAGAGCCCGATGCTGGGCTCAAACTCCCCAGCCATGAGATCATAACCTAAAGTTAAGTTGATGCCTGACCGACTGAGCCACCCAGGCGCCCCATCCTACCCACCTATTTGTAGTGAATACAGTTCTTTGGTAGAAAAGTCAGATTCATGGATTTAACATGGGGACTTACTTGCACAGCAACTTTACAGTACCATAAAGATGAAGTGGCTGGTGACATATTCAACATGCTGTTCATGTTTATGGATTTTCTGGCTTTTAAAGAAATGTTTCTGGGCTATGGAACAGAAGGAGAAGGCTGGGTACTGGGTTTAAACAGTGGTTTAGTGGCGAGTTTGTTGTGCAAATCATCTTCTTTGCCAGCTTCCCAGAGCAATCTGAGGCCCAAGGGCCCACCTCTGGGCAATGAAATCTTTCTAGATTGCCAGCTCACTAGACTATAGGAGGCTAATGCTAGTATGATGTTTCCAAGATGAAAACATCTTGGAAAGACTGACTCTGTTCTGCAGCTGTTCATTAATGTTAAGTATTGGTGGGTCAGAAAGAAAATTACCTGACCCTCCTGGGACCTTTTTCTCCTGAAACACTCTCTTGTATTCGGTGATCCTGTTACTTTTTCTGGGGTAGACACCTCTTTCAGAGGCTTTTGAGTCAGGCTCCTGTAGAGCAATCCCAAGGCCAGCATTCTACCTGGGGGACCCCGTCCCCAGCATACATGTAGGTGTGTCAGCATTTGAAAAACCGACCGTCACCAACTCTCTTTGGCCAACAGTTTTTGCATTTCCCACTAGGCATTTTGTACACTAAGCTTTTTATATCCATCAACGTTTCAATCCTGTAGCCTTAATGGGGTTTTTGACTAGGAGTATTTATCCAGGGTGTTACTCAAAGCCAGCTGCCCATCTTGAAATTTCTGAAGCTCCTACTATCACAATTAGTCTTGACTATAGGAATCAACTAAGAGAGGTGTCCTTTACCCAAAAGCTACATGTGAAAATCAATTTCTCATCTTAATATTTGCTTCACTATCTTCTGCTAGTCCTGATATAGTCTCTCTGTTTCTTGAATTCTCTTTTAAGCATTATTGAAAAAATGTTTTTAAGAAGATGAACATTCAGGCTAACCTAGTGGATGTAATGTTGGAACTGCCATGATTACCCACTTAAATTTCAAATTATAATATGCTGTGTGCTTTTTAGTTGTTAGTACTATGAAAGCCAAAATCCTTTCTGTCTTGGTGTTTCTATTTTATTTTATTTTTTTATTATTATTATTTTTAATGTTTATTTATTTTTGAGGGAGAGGGACACAGAGTGTGAGTGGGGAAAGGGCAGAGAGAGAGGGAGACGTAGAATCCAAAGCAGGCTCCAGGCTCTGAGCTGTCAGCACAATGCCCGATGTGGGGCTTGAACCCATGAACCATGAGATCATGACCTGATCTGAAGTTGGACGCCCAACCGACTGAGCCACCCAGGTGCCCTGGTGTTTCTATTTTAGTGAACACCAATGAATGTGTACTTATGCTGAAAGTAGGCTAAAAGGTATCTTTTTCTTGTAGCAAGTTAAGGTTTGCTAAAACCCTTTCTGTATAAATCAGTTCATTAGGTTTTCTGTTGAGGTAAGGAGTTCCTTCTTCCTATCAAAATCTACTAAGATGGTTTCCATGGGTGTAAGCAGTTCAGCATCAGTAGGATATAGAGAACAGCTTTACTGGTCATTTGTTTGCTTTTATTCAGTACAGTGGTTGAACATTACTGACCAGAAAACATGATGTTACGTCTCTAGAAAGAAGAAAAAACATAGTAGTTGAATTCCCAATGTGTTAACTTTCTCTTTCTAGCTATATATGGTTACATTTATTTATTAGTTGTTACTTTTTAAATGTATTAAAAAGTAAAAATAAAATTCTGAACTGACTTTTCATTTGGCTGTTCTGGAAGGATGAGCTACAGGTTATGTGTTTTTTCTGTACTGATGTGGCACTTATTGAATACTTTTGTACCATGAGTTAAAAGAAACTTAAGAGAATTGGCTACTCTATGTGTGTCCTATGTGGACTTTAGTTTTCTTTCTTAAAAAATGATTGTGCCATAGTTCAAGAATATAGAAAATACTGCAAAATATATAAAAGGAACACCTTGTGCTTCCCACTCATTTGTCAGATCTTAATATTTTGCCATATTTGTTTTGGTTCTCTATTCTTTTTTTCCTAAGAATTAAAACAAGGCAGAAATAGTCCTTTGTTTGAGTGCTTGGTGAAGATGATTGCAGTGCCCACTCTGTTTGACCACCAGTAGCTGATTTCTGGATTCTCTTTTTTGTTCACATACCTGCCCTTACTATATTATCACACTGTATTGATTATTGTAACTTTATGCCAAGTCTTGAAGTAATTCCTCAGCCTTGTTATTTTTCAGAATTTTCTTGGGTATTCTGAATCCCTTACATTTTTATATACATTTTAGAAGCCAATTTAATTTTTTAAAAAATGGCTGATTTTTAATATTTTTACAAGAAGCCTTGCTGGGATATTGTTTGGAATTGTATTCAATATATGGAAGCATTTTAGGAGAATTAACATCTTAAGAATACTGAGACTTCCAATTCATGAATCTGATAGATCTCATTATTTTTTTGTTACTTGTTTCTTCAATATTTTATAGTTTATAGCATGTAGATTGTGCATATATTTTGATAATTTATCCCAAAGAAGTTATCACAAGTACTTATAAATATAAAGGTCTTTAAAATAAACTAGACTTTTTAAAAAGTGAGTTTTATTTTCATTGCCTGTCTTTGATAAAGACATGTCTGTCCCTTTCTACCAATGGTAGTATTCCTTGACTTTCCTTCATAATATTTCTTGCCTGCTTTGTCAGATGCTAATAAAACCACTCCATCATTCTTATGATTAAAGTTTACATGGTATATATCTTTTTATATACTTTATATGTGTTTTCTGTGTGTCTCCTGTGGCTGAGTAGAAGTCTGTCATCTTGCAGCTCAGTGTCAAATCTGATTCAACTTGAAACCTCTTGGTAGGTTTTTGCTGGTCTTGTGGGATTTCACTTAGACTCACAGTGAGCCCTGTATTTCTGGAGTACTTTCCCTGTATAGCTTCTTCCACTCCAGTACTACTTCACAAATTCTAGTTGCCTAGGCCTCCCCCAACTTTATCTCCTAAGTCAGCAAATAGCTGTATTCTTTTAGGGTTCCCCTTTTCTTGGTAGTTGTCAGAACATGTCTACAACAGGAAGCTGAGATAATCCTTGGGCTCACTTTGCGTCTATTGAGAGAAGGAAAATTTCTAGGATGTATAAATTTCTACTTATTTTGTCTAATTTTCTAGTTATTTGTAGTAGGAAGCCACATATAATGACAGTTATTCCAACATAGCAGGAATCATTTAACTTTTTAAATGTAAATTGCTATCAATACATTTACCTCAAAGCTGTTTCTTATTGGTAATGTTTGTTATGTATAAAATTGGAAATAATTCTGTTGTTACAGTCTTGTCTGTGTATGTAATGATACATGCAAAAAGATATTCATTACTGGGTTATTTGAATATTAAAGAAGAAAATCATAAAAGTTTATCAGTAGAGAACTGCTTAAGTAAATTAAGGTATGCCATTGTAATGGTCATAAAAATGAATAAGGAAGATGTGTATGTTAAGATGTAATAATACCCAGTGTATATTATGTTAAAACAAAAAAAAAAAACATGATGCAGTAGGATATCTATAGCCTTTTTTTTTTTTTAAGGTGTGGAGAGCAGGGTAAATTGAGGCATAGGTTTGAGGGAGACTTATATTTGCTTGTCAGTTCTTTTATACTATTTTAATTATTCTTCGCCATGTGCATGTATAACCTTTTAAAAACAGTACACTACTTTATAAATTAAAAGGAAGATTGCTGTTGGTACCAGAACTTTAGAATGTTTGCCCTGGAGTAAACCCAGAAAATCCTTTTGTCCAACTCTTCCAATTTTATTATTGAATAATTATAGTCAATTATACTAATAAGATGCAGTGGTAGTAGTAAAAAAAAAATCTAATTTTCTGTCAGATTTCAGTTAGCTTCTAACTTTGTCACTTAGCTCTATAACTTTAGGCAAGACATTCCATTTGCTTATTTATAAATGGGGGCAAAATACCTTCATATGGAGTATTAGAGAATTAAATGAGATAAATAAGTTATCTAAAATACTAGCTGATAGGTGGTTTCTTTTCCTTTACTATGAAAAAATGCATATCAACCTTGCCTTTTAACAAATTTTAGCCTTTCCATAGTTTTTAATATTTCAGTGTAAGACATTCCTTACAGATAAATCATACTGTGAAAGAGAAATCTTATTTGTTTATTTGTGTATTATATTCACAGAGTGTTTTCAGGAAAGCGAACATCTCAAGGAAAGTCTTAAGTGTTGCTTATTGCATCTCTTTGGAGCCATTGTAGCCGGTGGGCAGGTGAGGAAAGTGTTAAAAGTTAATATTTAAAACAGTAGTTAACAGTGCAAAAAGTTTTCCATGGATTACTTTAATGTATTCTTTTTCTTTTCATAATTTCATGAACCACACAAATATTTTTCTGAGTTTATGTCTTGTTTAAAACTACTCTTTTATTTGTTAAAACTTCTTCAAAATCCTAAGTAATAATTTTACTTAAAATATAACAATATATAATAACTTATAATAAACTAACAATAAAATTACTGCATAAATAACCATATTTAACATTTTTTTATTTTAAGTTCTTAGTTGTATTGACTTTCAGCTACTAGTTCTTTCTTTAGAGCATAGAGTCAGCCCGGTTAGTCTACATGGTGAAATCAACTCAAAATTAAATATACATGAATTAATCACTATTCTGTCAACTTAATTACTAAATGCATATATACAAGGTTTATATGCACTTTTTCAACAAACTCAGCTAGTTTTTTTATTACTCACAAGAAGGAAATTCTAGTAATACTTGTTTCTTTATGTTTGAAGGTGTCTGTGGTAGACTTTGAGTGTAACTACTAGTTGAAAACAGGATTATAGTTCAGAAAGAACATCCTACATGTTTTCTTTAGGCACACAGTTTAGATCAGAAGTTTCTAACACTTTTTGTAACACATATGCCCTCTATAAAGTCCCTTGTCAGAATGTTTCAAATGCATAAAATAAAACACATAGGATCACAAAGGAAACTAGTTACACTGAAATCAGTTACTAAAATACTAAGATAAATTTCTAACATAGTAATATGTGCTTAGAACACACTAAAAGAGATACAGCATCAAGTCTAGTAACAAATGCAATTTCAAAAAAGAGACAAACCTGGTATTTTGAGATATTACCGTAACTGTAACGTGAAAATTTATATGATTTCTATTGATAACAGAGTTACAGCTGTTGTTAATAATACTACTTTTTTCCTAGTGGGCTACCTTGCCTTTCCCTCTTCACTCTAGTAGAGGAATCTGTTTTTTTGTGAGAGTGATGGTGGCTAGAATCTTATTTTTCAGTTTGTGTGCTTTGTCACCTTCCTTTGTTAGCTCATATCCTTCTTTTGTATCAGTATCTCCCTATTTCCATCATTTCTCCACTACTAAGAATAAGAATTAATGAGTATACATGAATACAATTGGAAATGACATTGTTTTTGACTATTGGAGAAGCTGATCGGATCCCATTACCATTTTGAACACACAGAGACTTGTTCTTGTTAGTGCCCAGGGGTAATCAAGCCCTGAGAGACCTCTACTGATTAAAATTAACATAGAAATCAAGTAGATACTAGAAGGCCAATTTATTATTTTATGTACTGAAAATATTCAAAATCCTTTTAATCAGGTTATAGCTATAGTTACAGCTGTTTTGAGGTCAGAAGGTTATTTATTGAATATAGGGATAGGTACCAGGATATTTAGACGAATGAAATATCTAAAGATATAAGAGTGGCCTTGTCATAAACAGCAGAAAAACTGAAGTCCCATGACTGGTCTTCCTTCTCAAAGCATCGTGCCTGGGCTTCCCATTGGCATATTTGTTCTATTTTGTGTTAAGAGGATGGGCTTTGGAGCCAGACTGACATAGGTTTGAATTCCATGTCCATCTCTCATTAGTTCTGTGACTTTGGATGAAAACTATTTACATGTGTTTTAGTTTATTTATAATATGGAAATAATAACACTATAAGGTAGTCATAAGGACCAAATGGTGCATAATATATGTAAGGCATTTGCTTGTAAGAACTAATTTGGTGGCTCTAGGATCTTCAGGGACTCAAGTTCCTTTGAATGTCAATTTGTTACTATTTCTTTTGCTACAAGATTAGCTTTCAGAGTTTTGGCTATCTGCGTTGTGTCTGTATTTTGGGCACAAAAATGGGGGGGTGGTGAAGGAGACAAATGGCAACTATCTTTAAAGGAGATACTGAAAAGCTGATACTCATCTTTTTTTTAAATCTCATTTTCCAAACTCCATGAGATAACTACAACAAAGGAAAATATGTCTAGATAAAAAATTGGGTAAAACTTGCTTCCTCAGCCTCCTTGGCAGCAGGGGAAGTTAGGAAATGTAATTTTTATTCCTGGTAGCCACATGTCCAGTGAAATATCAGGGGTTCTTTTGATAAGGAAGTGGAGGAAATGGATGTTGGGTATTCTATAGGCAGTTTCTTTTAATTAATTTTTTTAATGTTTATTTTTGAGACAATGTGAGACACAGAGTGCAAGCAGGGGAGGAGCAGACAGAGGGAGATACAGAATCTGAAGCAAGCTCCAGGCTCTGAGCTGTCAGCCCAGAGCCTGACACGGGGCTTGAACTCATGAACCATGGGATCATGACCTGAGCCGAAGTCAGATGCTTAACTGACTGAGCCACTCAGGCACCCCTATAGGTGGTTTCTTTCAAAGTAGCACTTGTTATTATTGATATTACTTATTTTGTTGGTAATTACCAGTTCTAATGGCTTAAGTGCTATTATTTTCAGATTATTTTTGCATAACTGTGTTTGATTCATTATCTATCAGTTTAACAGATTTGGGCAAAATATATGGTTTTTTCCAAGTTTAATGGGTCACCCTGAATAGCTACCAATAACTTAGAATTTCAGAAATGTTTGCAGAATCAAAGTCAAGCCAGTTGTCTTATTTATCTATATCATTTGGGATGGGTTTGCTATAACCAACAGAAAACCCTAGAGAAGCTTAACCAAATTGAGGTGTTTGTTTTTATTCTTGCATAACAAATCCAGATGTAAGCAGTTCTGGGCTGATATAGCAACTCCATGGTATCATCAAGGACTAAGTCCTTCTGCATTTCTATTTTCTCTTTAGCCTGCTACTTTAATTCTTGGGTTTGTTTCTTAATGATTTAAAGGTGGCTCCAAGCATCATGTCTGCATTCCAGGCAGGAAAAAGGTGAAAAGGCCAAGAGCCAAGGGTCCTTCTATTTTTATTTGTAAAGTTATGTTTTCTTCATAGCTTTCTGGCATATGTTCTTGACCAGAACCATGTCACATGGCTACCACTAGCTGCAAGGGAGGGTGGTAAACAAGTTTTCTATTGGGCAGAATGCTATCTGAATAAAATCAGAAATCTAGTAATCTAGTGAGGAAACGAAGACTTAATCTGCATAAAACACTAGCATTGCCCATCAAAGTATATGTTTAAATTTTTTAATATGTTGATTTATTAAAAGAAAAAGTCCACACATTTATTAAACTCTCTTTGTTTTTGCAAACATACAGAACTTCAGTTAGGTTTGGATTTTATTTTTATTATCTCTCATGTTTCAGAGGAATGCTTTGCAAGCAATTTCTCCAGCTACCATGGAAGTTCTTATGAGAGTTTTGGCAGACTGTGATTCCTGGGAGGATGGAGATCCTGAAGAAGTGGGTAGGAAGGTAGAACTTACTTTGAAGTGCCTTACAGAAGTGGTACATATCCTTCTCACTAGCAGCTCTGACCAGCGTCAAGTGGAAACCAGCACTCTTTTGGAGAACTATTTTAAATTGCTAAATTCAGATCATTCAGCTTTACCTAATCAAAGGAGGTCGAGACAGTGGGAAAGCCGATTCATAGCTCTACAGATAAAAATGTTGAGTAAGTATTACATAAAGTTTATTACACTCCGTTTTCTCTGAATCTTTTTTTTAGACTTATTTGAAATTGAAGACCATTGTATAGGAAGTATCGATTGTTTAATTCAGCTATTGTGTGACTTTAGATTTTGACTTCAAAATAATTAATATGGAATTGATTTGTTAACAGCGTCTTTGCTTTAACAGTGACAAAATTGAGCCTTTATTAATTTTTTGAAAGTGTAATCCACTAAAAGCATCAATATTAAGAAAGCTATTATTTTCAAATTCTAGGAAAAGTAAATTTTCAGGAGGTGCCATTTGCATTATCTGACCTATGGCAAAGAGTCACATATGATCAATTTTATATGTGCTTCTATAAATCTCTGTAGAGGTCAGTTTAACATCTGTCCTTTCTCTAGAGGGCCTCTGTTTTGTTTTGTTTTGGTTTGGTTTGGTTTCTTCAGAGCCTCTGTGTATGTTTGTCTTGTTTCTCTTGCTGTCTCTTTGTGTTTTTTGGTTTGTCATTCTTTGCATATATGTCCCTATCTCTGTAAACTCCATCAATATATGTGATTTCTTATTGTATTCCCCTGTTACATTGATAGATACAAGTATTATTAATTGAGTTTCTTTTTATAGAAGTAAAATATTTTCATTACAGCTATCCTGGGAAATTTGGATAAGTAAAAAGAAAAGCTTTTTATATCCTACCACCCAGACATATCCAACATTAATGATTTATTGTGTAGCTCTAGAGACTTAACGTGCTTGTGTGAGGGCATGTGTGCTGTCTAATTTAAAAATATTGGACACCAGAATCTTGGTGAAACTTGATCTCTTACAACTGTTTCTGTAGGAAAATAAGATTCATTTTATCTAGTTTCTGTTATTTTATATGATATGTTACATTTTGTAATTGTAATAAGTTATAAATTTATAAGGAAGTTTGAGTCTATATTAATGGACTTCTTATTTGTTAAAAACTATCACATTACTTATGTAGATTATCCCTAGATTTCTGAATGAGGATATCTTTTCAGTAGGAAACAAGAACAAACTATCATTACAAATGGATTAATTCCCTAAGTCTCATTTTCTTAATGGCCACATGCTAATTTTTTACTGTGTGATGAGACTGTGTTGCAAAACATAACTAGATGTTGCTTATTTGTTAGTAGCAAGCTATACTTGAGCATTATAATCGAATAACAGCTATTTAAGTCTCTGGGAAATATATATCACTCTTAGGTATAAAAACAAATATTGTCAATAATAAATTATAAATGTCTACTTTTCTTAACAAGTAATAAGTACAGTTTTGTTTTGTACTCTCCATCCCTATTTTTTCCTAACTAATTTTACATCCCTTTGTCGACTGAAAAGCCTAAATTAAAAATACGGCCAAAGTATGGGGCACATGGGTGGCTCAGTTGGTTGGTTGTCTGACTTCGGCTCAGGTCATGATCTCACAGATAATGAGTTTGAGCCCCATGTCGGGCTCTGTGCTGATAGCTCAGAGCCTGGAGCCTGCTTCAAATTCTGTGTCTCCCTCTCTCTCTGCCACTTCTCTACTCATGTTCTGTGTTTCTCTGTCTCAAAAATAAATAAACATTAAAAAAATAAAAAAAATATATGGCCAAAGTAAATGTTTCTGTGATTCCAAATTTCCCACTTTATAAATGGACTATTTTGTTTTTATTTTCCCAGATACCATCACAGCCATGTTAGACTGCACTGATAGGCCTGTTCTTCAGGCCATTTTTCTTAACAGTAATTGCTTTGAACATCTCATACGACTGCTACAGAATTGCAAGGTATTTTTCTGTTATTATTGTGTTTGGTTTTAAAAAGCTATCATTTTGTTTATGCTTTGATTCAAATTTGAACATATTACTAATTTTCTTTTTTATTGTGATAAAAAGCACGTAAAATTTACCATTTTAATGGGTGTAGTTCAGTGGTATTAAATGCATTCACATTGTTGTACAACTGTCACCACCATCCATTCTTCATAAGTCTACATCTTATAGAACTGACTCTATATACATTAAATAATTCCACATTCTCCCTCCCCTAGCCCCTGACAACCACCTTCCTGTCTCTAAGTACCTCATGTAAGTGGTGTCGTACAGTATTTGTCTTTTTGTGACTGGTTTATTTCACTTAGCGTAATAGCCTCAAGATTCATCCATGTTGTAGCATATTGCAGAATATTCTTCCTTTTTTATTTAGGCTTAATAATATTCCATAGGATATACATACCACAATGCTGCTATGGAACATGAATATACACATATCTCTTTGAGACTCTGTTTTCAGTTCTTTTGGATATATTCCGGAAGTGAGATTGCTGGATCATATAGTAATTAAATTTTTAAAAAGTTTTTGAGAAACCACCTTACTGTTTTCCATAGTGGCTCTGCCATTTTACAGTCTTGCCAACAGTGCACAAGGGTTCTGATTTCTTCACATTTTCCTTCACAGTTATTTTTTTCTTTTTGATAGTAGCTGTTCTAATTGCTGTGAAATGGTATCTCATTGTGATTTCGATTTGTCTTTCTTTAATAACTAGTGATACTGAGCATTCCCTCATGTGCTTATTGGCTATTTATAAATATTCTTTGGAGAAATGTATATTTAAGTTATTTGTGTGTTTTTTAATTGGGTTTGGTTTTTATCGTTGACTTTTAGTCTTTTGTTGTGCATTGTTAAAATTTGGTGTGAGCATTTGATGCATATAATTTTGTGCCTTTGTTTCCTGTAAGATGATTTTGTTTGCGTTTTCCTGTGTTTTGATTTTAATATCTACATAATATTATATTAAGTGGATGTATCATAATTTACATAACTATTCCCTATTGGCTGATACTCAATTTACTTCTAATTTTTTTGCCATTACATAACTCTTTCAAGTTTCATAGAACAGAATTCTATTCCTAGTAGAATTACTAGGTCAAGGGGCGTAAAATTTTGTGCTTTTTTAAAATTAGGGAAGTGAGGTGCCTGGGTGGCTCAGTCAGGTAAGCCTCTGACTCTTGATTTCAGCTCAGGGCAAACATTAAAAAAAAAAAAAAATGAAATTAGAGAACATTGCATAAAACAACTTGTAAATAATTGGGAAATATAGAAAAGCAGAATAATAGAAATAGTGTTAATGTTCTTGATATATCCTGCCAGTTTTCTTATTATTTTTCTTATTTTTTACTAATTTATACTCTTGACAGATTTGTGTGTATTAATAACTAATGTCTCTTACTATATCATATTTTCATAAATTTCAAGATTGTATCAGATATTTTTTAGAGAGCTTCTTGAAAAGCCTTTGAAAATAAAACTACGGGGTGCCTGGGTGACTCAGTTAAGCCTCTGACTCTTCATTTTGGCTCAGGTCATGATCTTATGGTTGTGGGATTGATCCTTGAGTTATGCTCTGAACAGAGTATGGAGCCAGCTTGGGATTCTGCTCTCTCTCTCTCTTTCTCTAAACCTCCCTTGCTTATGCTTACTTGCTCTCCCCCTCAAAAATAAATAAACTTTAAAAATGCCTGCAAAATATAATTATATTTAAAAAAAAGAAAGAGAAACTACTTCAGATAATTCTTTCTGTTTGAAGTATTCCTTTCATGGACTCTTTGCTAAAAAATACTAGGGTTTCATTCTGATTTTTGAGAATATTCCAGTATAAGGATTTTAATATCAGCTCCTTGAATTTTTCCACACTGTTAGGAGAGATATCTCTGAAAGCATTTATGTCACTATATTTTTTAGCTTATAGTGAAATAGTAAAGAAATAGCATAAAATAATAAAGAATGTATTGATGAAGTCAATAATGATGAATATTTATGAAGTCAATGGAAGTACTAATCTGTCACTAGGGAGTGAAGATGCTTCCCCTACCTTTTAAAAATTATTTCTTGGGAATGTATACCTAGGAAGATGAAAAGAGTATAAAATAACTGTTTATAAAACCTTTTGTTTGTTGTAAAAAAAAAAAAAAAGTAGTGTGGCTTTATCAGTTATAAAGGCAATTTCAGTGATAAAGACAAAATGTCCCATGTGTAGAGACTCTACCAGTCACACATTATAAAAGAGTAAATCACTAGGATAAAATTTAGTTCCTACTAAAATTCAATATATGGCAGTCAGATATATTAAAAATCTCTATCTTATCATGGTCAACAGTATCTTTTTTTTTTTTTTTAATTTTTTTTTTCAACGCGACATTTATTTTTGGGACAGAGAGACAGAGCATATGAACGGGGAGGGTCAGAGAGGGGAGACACAGAGATAGAAGGCTCCAGGCTCTGAGCCATCAGCCCAGAGCTCGACGCTGGCCTCAACCTGACCGAAGACGACCTTCTCAGGCTGCAGGACCGGTCGTGACCTGGCTTTAAATTAACCGACTGCGCCACCCAGGCGCCCCAACAGTATCTTTTTTAAAAGTGCACAGCTTTTTGGCATAGCTGTAATGATGTTGAGCTAATAATAAAAAGCTCTTTCTACTGTAGTATAGACCAGAATTTCTTGTAATTTAGATCTTGAAACTTGCTGATAGTCATAATGTTTTAAAATTTAATTATTTTATACCACCTATCACACTTTGTTTTGAGATAGGCAATGCTAGAAAAGAAACCCACTTCAGAGGGGAAAGCCAGGCTTTGGGACCCCATCCCTCTCTGCTGCAGGTGGTCTTCTTCTAGGCAGGAATTCTAGTCAGAATCACTAAAAGCTCATCACCAAACATTACAGTGATTAAGTCCGAAAAGCGTGGGGGAACCTTTGAAATAAACTGCCCAATTCTTTTATTCCACAAATGAAGAAATATGTCATAAGAGATTAAATGATTAACACAAAGTTAGTACTAGTACACAATGGAGGTAGATTTCTTACACAGGTATTCTGACCCTAAGTTCACTGGTTGTATGTAGTTTTGTTGTACTGGTACTTAAGGTCAGTAGAAAAATGTTTTCTTTGTGTTGAATATAGGGGAAGTACAGGTTTTATTGATTAAACACATTTGATAGAGATAGGTTAATACGATTCTTAAATATATAAAAATATTTGGTGTCTTGTGAAAACTTAAGTTCTTAAATATATTACATGATGCTATAGATGTCTATGATTGACTTTTTATTAAAGTATTTTGCTGTAAGGAATGAATAATTTTTTCTGTTTTATATAGTAATACAGAGTCAAGACAATTATTTGAATATTCAGACCTAGAGGAAACATTGTCAACTAAAGCTTAAAGTGTCACAAACATTTTATGAATCACATGGAGAACTTTAGGCTGATTGCTGTAGTTTCTGTGCTTTTCTTTTTCTGTGAGATTCACCAGCCAGTTTATGCATTTATTTCCTGAACTATTTGTGTAAAGACTTCCGGTTTGTCAAAATGAGTTTCATCATACTGTAAAGTACTTAGAATGTATTTCAGTAGAATCATACATTTAACTTTTCTGAAAGCTATGATGAACTTTAAACATTTAAGAGTTGTTTCACTATATTACATTTTGGAAGGGGGACGTGCTTTGGATTAATGTAAAAATTATTTTTAAAAGCTGTCCAATTCAGTATTTGAATTGAGAAGAAAATAACAACAAATTTCTAGTAATAAAGAGGAGGGTTCAAAACCATTACAAATACTTTAGCACTCTGCTTGAAGTTTTAATCAGTTTTTTAAAAATATAGATGTTGCAGCATATTATAAATGTGTAAAGGTCTATTTGAGGACTAAGTCATAAGATTCTGGAAAGCTGTTGATATTTTGGTCTTGTTTGCATCCCTTAATTTGTTCTCTTCACATTCTTCCTTTCCTTCTCCACTTCTGCCCCTGAAAATCAACTAGAACAAAAATTTAGCATCAAGGCAGTAGTAAAAATGAAAATTTATAAAAGGAGCAACTGAGGGATGATTTGTGGAAAAGACTGTTGGAGGTGGATATAAAATGGTATAATTCAAAGCTGGATTTTGGGAGTTGGCACCTGCCTGGATTCATACACACTGACTATTTGAACAAATTTCTTTTCATTTTTTTTTTCTTTTTTTTTTTCTTTTCATTTTTTAAAACAGATTTTTATTTAGATTCTTAAGCAATAATCAATTATAGATTTTGGAGGAAAATATACATAAAAAATATATTTTCTCAATCTTTTTGTAAAACATGTATGTATATATAAATATTTAAATTTTAAAATTGTGGCAAAATACACATAATAATATTTTTATATATATTTTTTAATGTGGATATATTTTCCTTTACAAATTTGGAATACCAGTGAGTATTTTTGTATCCTGCTTTTAAATGTATTATATCCTGACTCTTCCCATATACCATCATATATTTTTCAAAACAGTATTTTTTTTAATGTTTTTATTTATTTTTGAGAGAGAGAGAGAGAGAGAGAGAGAGAGAGCAGAAACAGGGGAGGGGCAGAGGGAAAGGGAGAAACAGATTCTGAAGCAAGCTCCAGGCTCTGAGCTGTCAGCACAGAGCCTAATGCAGGGCTCGAACCCATGAACTAGGAAATCATGATCTGAGCTGAAGTTGGACACTTAACTGATTGAGCCACCCAGGCACCCCAAAACAGTATTTTTAATGACTACAAATATTTCAACCCAAGGTTCTCAAAGTATGGGGTCCCCAGAATCATTTTAGGGAATCTGCAAAGTCTGATCTTAACATTTCAGTTTGAGGCTAGATTGTTTTTTCATAAACTTGAATCAAACAATATTATCATAACAGTCTGAATGTAAAAGTAAATATTAGAATTCATTCATCTTCTATCAAGTCAGACATTTAAAGAAATTATAAAATGTAAAAGCAGTGCCAATCTCAGTTAAGTATATTTGGAAAATAGAGTGGGTTTTTTCCCCATAAATGTGTTACTTATGTCAGCCTGTAATAGGTTTATTTTTTTGAATGAATAAGCAAATATTTTTTTAAATGTCTTTATTTTATTTTCTTATATGGTGAATATTGATAGATATAACCCACATAAAGAGAATTTCTTTGGGGTTCTCAGTAATTTTTAAGACTGTTAAGTGGTCCTGAGGCTAGAAAGTTTCAGGACTTCCCTTTCAGTCTATGGATGAACCATAATTTATTTAAGTATTCTGCTATTTAAGGATATTTGGGCAGTTTCTTACTTTTTGCTGTTGTAAATAAAGCTGAAGTGAGGATCTCGATTCTAAAATCTTTTCTGACCATTTTTTAGGTAAATGTCTAGAAATACAATTATAGACTTAAAGAGTAATTTTAGGATTCTTGATATGGATTGCTTTCTGGGAAGACTTTACTCATTTTTGCTTTCATCACTTTTTAGCATTCCTGTGTTCCTGTACCAGATAATATGGAATACTATTGTTTAAAAAATTTTTGTTATTAATAACAGCTTTCATTTACTAAACCCTATAATGTGTCAGACATTGTATTAATAACCTAGCATGGATTATTTTATTTAATCTGCACAACTATTTCATGAGATATTCTTTTCCCTTTTGAGAAAGTAAGCTCAGAGAAGTTAAGTAGTTTTCCTTAAAACCAGACAGCTAATAAGTAGCAGAACCAAGATTCAAATCCAGGTTTCTGATTCCAAAGCCTGTGTTGTGTACACTAATCTATTTTTAGGGTAAACTTTATATATGCTCTGCATATCATATCATGCCTTACCTTTATCTGTTTTATTTTATATTGCCTTATTTCAGTATATTACTGGACTTTTCTATTTTCTGAAATGATAGAACTTCCTAAGAAGAACTTCCTTCCTTGGATGCTCTTGATAAATTCTTTTATAAGTCTTTCTTTCTTTCCCTTTTCACTTTCATTTGAATTAACTTTTTATCCAAAATGTGACTGAGATCTTTTGGAATGCTAGTTTTCCATACTTAAACAAAAATACTTGATTCCCTTAGCAATCCTCATGTTTATCAGAGAAAATCCTTAATCCCCCTTTTGTAGAAGCTAATATAAATTATGCCTAACTCTTGATAATTTGAAAAGTATGTATACCTTTTTCAAAGTACAGTAGCATATTTGAGAGTCTGAGAAGTATTTTCAAAAAGAAACTTTAAAAGGTAGGTTAGCTTCTACAAATATACTTGACTACAGAATCCTCACTGTACATTATTTACTACAGTATCTTTAATCTGTCTCACTAACAAATTTCCTTCTTATCTATGAGACATTTTTTGCTAATTCTTTAAGAATTTAGGAATATTAACTAATTTACTTGTTGCTATTATTATTTTAGTAATTTTCAGTTCCAAGAGAGAAATAAATACCAATTTATTGTATAGTATATGACCTAATGTTAGTTTGTAATCCAAAAAGTGAATAGTTGATTGTCAGTTTAAAATAGTATTCTTCACGAATGGATTCTTGGATTTATTTTCAAGAGACATGGAAATCCATTAAATTTCATTTCTGCTTATAGGTAACAATTTAATGTTCTTTCTCCATTATTCTTATCTCTGTTTTTAACAGCTATTTTTAAATGCTAACAATAAGGTGGCAGACAAGAACGAGAAAGACCTTGCCAACAAATTACTGACAGAAATGAATGAGGACCAGGTATCTACAAAGCCTGCATCTTGTTTCAGCTGAAGTCCAAAATCAGTCAATGGGAGCAACTATTCCTGTACTTTTCTTCTTATGTCTTAAAATACACCAACACTATCTAATCCTAATGTTCATTAATTATTTTTGAAAATTGTTAAAAAAATTAAAAATTTTTTTCATCTAAAAGATAAATCTGTTGAAATCTTGGTGGTTGATGTAAATGATCAACAGTATTCCATCTTTGTATGTGTGTATTCTTGTCAATTTGAGGAGATATAAAGTACAGGAATGGGATCCCAATATCAACGTGGTGGTGACTTCATATTTTGGGAGCTTCTTTTTCTAAGCATTGTGGTGTATTGGGAACTTAGGGCTTTGTTTGTGAATATGTATGGTCAGTTTTAATACCTTGATTCTTTGCTTCTTGTTGACAAGTAATGACTATAATTCAATGGACAACCTGAATCCTGGAGGAAGGGAAGAAGACGCTGAACTCTCTTTAATTTAGCATAAAACTTAACTGTTGTCTTTTGTAGAAAGTCACCTCTATGTGGGTAAAAGGCAGAAATAAGCAGTTTTTGTTGCTTTTCTGCATTAGGTAATTCATTTTGGAAAAAACTACCTATAAAAATTGCTTTGTTATTTTTCTTTCCTGAAATGTTTGTGAGAGAACTTTCATGATGTCTTTTATTAATATTATCTTAATATCCAGGTTTATAAATAGAGCTATGGTATAGATATGATGATTATTTTCTGTTCTGGATGTAAAATACCAATTACAGAGTACCATTTTAGATTTCTCTATAAATGTTAGTCCCTCTCAAGGCCTATATAGATTAATAAAACAGTTACAATGATATTCTCAGAGGTTTATGTTAGTATTCCTAATTGTAGGTACTGTGATGACTAGTCTTTGGACAAAGTGTAGGAAAGATCTTATTTATAAGAAATTCTCTATACAGAATTATTAATGCATAGTATGTTTATTACACATATAATAGATATATATAATAATGTTTAATAAACAACATCAACAAAAATCAAGATACTGGCTTAAATAACTTGCCTAAAATTGGTAGAGCTTAGCTTAAAATGACAAAGATCTAATCAGTCCCTTAAATCATTTTTAGTGGGAGGGAGAGAGGAAAATCCTACTCATGAAGTGACTGCCTTTAAGTCATAGTAATATTACCAAAAGCAGATTTTTGGAACTGTTAGTTTTTACAGCTTTCTAGTTCTCATGTAAGGCTTTCATGGTTCATTAAGCCTGATGATATAACCCAGTCATATTCAATTTTTTAATGTTAATGTTGTATTTTGTTTTCACCTTTTGTCTGTAAATGCACTGTTCTGAAACTTAACACTTCTCTTTATGATGAAGCTTATACAAAATAGACAAAATGAAGCTGCTTTTTATTTTTTCTTACAGTTTTTGGCATTAAAGCTTGCCTACTCAAAAACATGATAATACTTATAGATACATATTTCATTTTCTGTTCTACCTCAAATTCTGCATCTTATGTAAAAATAGGTATACCTTATTGCTTGCAAGTGTGATTGATTGGTAAATAAATATACCATTTCAATTATAACACAAGGCTTGGAAACCAAATAGACAACACCATTTTAAATACCTTATTATACATGCTAATGAAATTTAAAGCTAGGAAGTTCAGTGTATTTTTGAAGGGAAATTAAAATATAGTAGAATTTTCAATGATAGATCTTTCTCCCTTCCTCTGGAGATTGTCCATTATTTTTAAAAGCATGTGTTAAGCTTGTGTTCTTTTCGGTTTTTGGTTTTTTTCCCAAAACATTTCAAAGTGATGAGTGAATGTAGCTTTATCCTTCTTGACACATGGTTTATTTTCGTCAAGTAGGTAACTTTTCTTGCAGGTATAGTGTTTCAGAAATCTATTTTATTGTAAGAGGAATGTATTGCATGTTAAGTAATTATTTTTTCAGGTTTTCAGAACAAAGGTTTCCTAACTAAATACAAATCTTGAACACGTTGTTAATTTCTTTCCTTTTTATTTTTTTTCTCTCTGATAGGTGTTTCAGGGGCAATTGGATTGTTTGGCTATATCGACCATTAAGGCTTTGACAGCAGTAATGAATAAATCTCCAGCTGCTAAGGTGAAACATAAAATCCGCAAGCTCAAAAATGTTATCCTAGATATGCCAGTTTTCACTATGAAATCCCCAAAGTAATGTATGAAAGTATATATATAATACATTTGGTGTTATACCTGAAGTGAAATAGTTCACAAACTATCTCAGTATAGGAATCATTTGCTGTTAACTTTTGAGACAAACACCTATGGGGACTGCTTTGGATTATAAGATAGGCATATAATTATATGATAGAACCGTAAGCTAATAGAGACTTACAGTGTCAGTAAACAAAGATAGCACTGCTGTTGAAAAGATCATTTTAAGTGATTCTATGGTTAGTGAGTTTAAAAAATTAAATTTTATATCATAGTTTTTCTTCATTAATAAAATAATCACTCTTTCACTCTTTGCTCAGTTTATGACTGCCTAGACTGTGAGAAAATTTTTCACATGAATAGCCCTATCAGTTTGGGACATGTTTTTCACAATGGCCGTGGAAATTCTGCTTCTTTGTTACCAAACCTCAGGATTTTCTTTCTGTCTCATTCACAACTACTAACTCTGTCCTGTTGTCCATTTATGCTGATTTGTGCTAGTAGTTTCGTCATTGAATAGTTTTAAGGATTAGTGAGATCATCTGTGTAAAGTGGTAAACCTATAGTGCCAGGCACATGGTAAGTGCTTAATAAATCTCAGTGTCGATGATGATGATGATGATGATATTTTACCTTCTGTTTACCACCTGTAATGTATTTCATGCTTTACCTTTTAGTAGCAGACATGAATGAATTATTCCTGGTTTCCTAAGCCGTGCCTTCAGTAGTATTACTAACTTTCCATTGGTTCCACTAGGACACTAATGTTTGCTCTATAAATGTTGCCATATGTAGCTTATGGTTAGATGCCTACTAGACAGCTTTTACAATTTTACAGGCCTGCTTGGGAATCTAATTCTAATTACAATAGTTTCTGTAAGGGAAAAAAAGTCATTTTAAGTTCTAAGTGGTTTATTAGTATAATGAATTAGCTGTACTGTATTATGAAACTCAAGTCTCAAGTGATGTTCAAGTCTTAAGATATAATTTTTTTATTATGTAATGCATGGTTTAAAATTCAAAAGGTTATGTTAAAAATACCTTTTTAAAAATGATAGGTATTAGATTTTTAAGTTTTAATTTAAATTCCAGTTAGTTAACATACAGTGTAGTAGTATTTTCAGATATACAATATAGAGATTCAGCAATTCCTTACAGATACATTTACTACAGATATAATACTCAGTGCTCATCACAGGTGCACTCTTTAATCTCTACAACCTATTTAACCCATCTTTCCACCCATCTACCCTCTGGTAACTATTAGTTTGTTCTCTGCCTGTTTTGTTTTCTTAAATGCCACATATGAGTGAAATCATATGATGTTTGTCTTTCTCTGACTGACTTCTTTTGCTTAGCATAATACTCTCTAGTTCCATCCATGTCGTTGCAGATGGCAAGGTTTTATTCTTTTTTATGGCTGATTAATATTCTGTTTTGTGGGGTTGCCTGGGTGGCTCAGTCGGTTAAGCGTCCAGCTTCAGCTTAGGTCATGATCTTGCAGTTTGTGAGTTTGAGCCCCATGTCGGGCTCTATGCTGACAGCTTGGAGCCTGGAGCCTGCTTCAGATTCTGTGTCTCCCCCTCTCTCTGCCCCTCCCATGCTCATTCTCTGTCTCTCACTGTTTCTCAATAATAAATAAACGTTAACAAAATTAAAAAAGATATTCCATTTTATGTATATACCACATCTTCTTTATCCATTCATCAATTGATGGACACTTGGGCTGTTTTCATAATTTGGCCACTGTACATGAAGTTCCTATAAATATAGGGGTCCATGTATCCCTTTGAATTAGTATTAAAAAATACCTTTTGGAAAAAAATGTTCTTTCTACCACTGGGCTCACAGCCAACTAGTTCCTCTCCCTAGAGACAACCAGTCTTACTCATTTTGTTTAAATCTTTTGATTTTATAATAAAAGTGTATACATTTTTGCCTGATTTACTGGACTAGTTTAGCATTAGTAGATTTTTGTTATCTTTTTATTTTACTTTATGACTTTGTGTGCCCACTAGTTCAAAAATACATATGACTTAGACCTTTCTAAAATGAACTTGGTGTTTGAGATAAATTCAATCCATTTAGATACAAAAAGAGGAGAGAAAATTACCCAGTTTTTTCTGTCACCACTCAAAATTGCCAGGACTCTAGTCTTTTGAGACTGCTGCCTGGCTCCTGTTACCCCCAAAGTCTTCTCATTTTTTTGCCATTTTTGTTTTGACTTAATGTAATACTGTACTAATTACAAATCAAGTGAAGATGAAAGTGGTTGTACCCTAATCTGAAATTTATATAATATTTTTATAATATACGATTATACAATTATTGCTAATTTCATTTATTTTATATTTGGTAGGTTATTGTCACATCATATTTCAGAAGACCTATGGAATCTATTTTAGAGGGTGCCTGGTGGCTCAGTAAGGTTAAGCGTCCAACTTCAGCTCAGGTCATGGTCTCATGCACAGCTCATGGGTTCAAGCCCCGCATTGGGCTCTGTGCTGACACCTCACAACCTGGACCCTGCCTCAGATGCTGTGTTTCCCTCATTCTCTTTGCCCCTCCTCCACTTGTACTATGTCTCTCTCTCTCTTTCTCTCTCTCTTTTTCAAAAATAAATGATTATTAAACATTTTTTTTAATTAAAAAAAGATGAAGATGTGATTTAAGAAGCAAATACTGTACTCAGTCTTTTCAGTATTAACTGAAATGGGTATTATTCAACATTTTAAATAATCAACAAATTCAGTCTTTGAAAGTATGTTTTGATGTGTTTATTTCCCTTCCCTTAGGAAGTATTTAAAGAAAGAATTGGTTATACACATATGTTTGAGGTTTTAAAATCCCTGGGTCAGCCACCGCTAGAACTACTTAAAGAACTCATGAATATGGTGAGTTTTTTCGCTGTATTAAACAAGTTCCATTATCTCCATATCCAAAATGGTTACTAACCTTTTGTCTTTTATGTTGCTTTATAGGCTGTAGAAGGTGACCACACTTCAGTTGGGATTTTGGGCATTAGTAATGTCCAGCCTCTCTTGCTTCTTATCCAGTGGCTTCCAGAGCTAGAATCCCATGATCTGCAAATCTTCATTTCTGATTGGCTGAAAAGAATTTGTTGTATTAATAGGCAGAGTCGAACTACTTGTGTCAATGCAAACATGGGAATTCACATCATTGAAACCCTTGGTTCCCATTCTTCCCTCCATCGAACTTGTGCTGAGAACTTGATTGCACTTCATGGTTCCTTGGGGAGTCAGTCAGTGAGCTCAGAAGAAATACGTCAGCTGCTAAGATTGCTGAGAGTGGATGAATCTGAGTATATTCACCCTTATACTACTCCTGTGACTCGAGCAATTCTGACAATGGCCCGAAAACAAAGTCTAGAAAGCGCACTGCAGTATTTTAATTTGTCACATAGTATGGCAGGAATCTCTGTGCCTTCCATACAGAAATGGCCAGGGTCTGCCTTTTCTTTCAATGCTTGGTTTTGCTTAGATCAGGATCAGTTGACTCTTGGCAATGCTAACAAAGGAGGAAAAAGAAAACAATTGTACAGGTACTGATACAAGTTATGGAATATAAATGAATACTGTCATAACAATATATGCTGTAATTCTTAAACAGGAAAAAGCTTTTCAAGCATCTAGTTTTTAAATGTACAACAGTTTAGCTGAAACCGCTTTATCCTTAGGGCGTACACAGATTATAAGTGTTTTATCGCTTTCATGATATTGATTACATACATCAAATATTTTGGTAGGTCTTTGGTTAGTTTGGAAACAAAGTTCCTTCTTAAAAGTATGATAAAAGTGGAGAAAAAAGTGTAATAAATTTTAAAATGGTGATCTCTATGTTCCATTAAAGGTGCTCTATATTTATATGAAGGATCACAAAACCTATGTGTATGTACATCCAAACTTAGTTACTTTGGTAACTGATAATTTTAAATAAATTTAATGCCTTGTGATTTTTAAGACATTTATTCATGCTTTCTGAATCCTATTTGAAAGAATTTTGAAATCTTCAAAATTTATCATTTTACTTTTGTTTGATAATGGAATTCCACTCTTCTGGCTACCTTTTATAATTTGTTAAACCATTAAGCCCATAAAAGATTTAGGAATTACCATTGTTATGAGGTTGGACTGATGTGTGGCAATAGAATGTAAGCCACAGCATTATTGATAAAGATATTCATGATGATCTTACGGTTTTGTGTGTATTCAGTGATAAAACTGAACTGACTTCAAAAGTTCTGATAATATATATTTTTGTTAGCTTTTTTACAGGAAGTGGCATGGGTTTTGAAGCTTTTATTACCCATTCAGGTATGCTGGTTGTTGCAGTGTGCACAAAAAGAGAATATGCTGCAGTTATGCTTCCTGACCACAGTTTCTGTGATTCCCTCTGGGTAAGGTTTTAGGACATCACATTTAACTTTTTGGTTCTTTTCTTTAAAATCACACATTTGGTGAATGTACATCAGGAATTATCTCCTTTTTGAGCATTGATTAATTTTCACTTCATAATTCTGCTTATGTTGAAATTTATAAGGAAGTTAATAGCATTATCATCCTCATTATAAACTCAGCGATAATAATTTTTCTCCTAAAAAATTAAAAGTAAATATTTCCATTTCTTTCATGTTTTCTAGAATCAGATTTGGTTTAGGAATTCAATTTAAAATGAGAACATAAATTATTAATAGCAATGCATCTCTCTTGCTTTTCTTAAAGTATAAAATGCTTCTCATTAGGAAAATTGATTCTAAAGAATACTCAGACTTGGAAAATACAGGAAAGATACTTTGTTACAGTTGTGTATAAGTTGCTAGAACATATATAAATGCTTTTGTAGTACTACAGAAAAAATTGTCATTCACTCTTAAGAACAGAATTTTAACCAACATTTAATTATGCTTAATCTCAATGTTCTGCTATTCACACAAACTAATTGAGTAATACTCTGAAAACATTTGTCATTCCAAAGATTTAATGTAATTTTAGTCTTTAAATGTATGCTTTACTTTACTAGCACAACATAACCATTGTTCACATGCCTGGAAAAAGACCCTTTGGTCAGAGCTTTGTCTATATCTATGACAACGGACAGCAGAAGGTCTCTGCCCCTCTCAGATTTCCTGCCATGAATGAAGTAAGCACACCTTATCTACTTGTTATGGGACCATGGGATTTTAAAATGTTTTGTATGTTCTAAGATATAGTAAGTTAATATTTAATACTGTTAGCCTATCATTATTAGATGAAGTTGGACAACATGTAATAAAGAAAAACAACTCAAAGAAGAAACAAATGTAATAAAAAACTTATGGGGAAAAAGACCTAAAATGGGAAAGCCAAAGAAATTTAATAGAGGAGAGCAAAGGATCATTTCATAAAGCCCTCCATGGGATGTCTGGGTAGCACAGTAGGTTAAGCGTCTCATTCTTGAGACTCTTGATTTTGGCTCAGATCATGGTCTCATGGTTCCTGGGGTTGAGCCTGGCAAGTGTGGAGCCTGCTTAGGATTCTCTCTCTCCTTCTCTTTGCCCCTCCCTTGCTAGTGTGTTCTCTCTCTCTCTCTCTCTCTCTCAAAATAAATTTAAAAACTTTAAAAAATTAAAAATAAATAAAATCTTTAGAAAAATAATAATAAAGCCCTCCCAAGTGTACAAAATACTTAGAGACTATTATGATGGTCTCTTTTCCATCCTCACTGAATTTGAAACAGTAATGAAGAAACTTTAAGCCTTTACATTGTAGTCAAATACAAGATGGAACTTATTGAGATGATTCTTAAAGAATATTATTGTAGCAGTGATTCACACGTCAGGGTTGTTGGATGTAAGCTTGGGAAATAGCACATTGATTTATTTTCAAAAATGTGTTTGGGGAAAAGAATCAGAAATAAAAGCTGCAATTTGTAATAGCTCTGTTTAAAAAATCAAAAATAAAGATTGTTTACATATTGTATTAGAAATGGAAAAAAATATTATTGTAAAAGTTCTTTGAGAATTCTTAGATAATTCTAAAACAGCCTTTTTTGAAGGTAATGAAATCTGTTATTTCCCAGGTGCTTCTCTGATTCTAGTAGTTTCTTATTGATGTTCATCCTGATGCTCATTTTAGGATAGCCTGTAATTAGTGTTATTATACTAATGTGTAGTTCTGTTTATAAATTTTAAGGGAGAAAAGTAGTTTCCTTTATTTTAGAATATAGTAAAGTTGTTAAAGTTTTTAAAAATATTAAAATTTCAAAATTTACAGAAGGATATAATGTGAGTTATAAAAGTAACACATCCAAATCCCATAGGCCAAAAGTAACATCTCTCATTGGCTTCTTATGTATGCACACACATGCACACATTATGATCCAATAAAATTAAAACTTACAATTTATTTTCCATCTATTTGTTTTTTTAATTTTATGTGCTGTTTTATTTTCAATCTGAAGATCGAGATATAATTAAAATGGTGTAATTTATTTTGTTTGTTTCTTAATTTTTAGCCTTTTATTTCCTGCTGCATTGGTTCAGCTGGGCAAAGAACCACCACTCCTCCACCATCCCAAATCCCAGATCCACCTTTTTCTTCCCCCATTATCCCTCATCGGACATCATTTGGTGGAATTCTGTCATCAGCCTCCTGGGGAGGAACACTTGAAAAATCAAAATTGATTACCAAATTGATATCAGCTGGAACTCAAGATAGTGAATGGGGATGTCCCACATCTCTGGAGGGCCAGCTAGGGTCTGTTATCATATTTTATGAAGGACTACAGCCTCCTCAGGTGAAGGCATTGTATTTAGCAGGTGAGCATGTACAGTCATACTGTTTAAACTTAGTGGTTTTTTTTTGCTGCCTACATATATTTTGAAGAATATATTTGATCTGAATAGTGTATTTGTATTTGTAATGGAAGCTGAAAGGGAAGAAAAATCCCACTACATTCCCTGTCCGCCCACCCTCAATTGATTGGGATATTATTGACACAAAACATACGTAAGTTTAAGATGTACAGTGTAATGATTTGATAGACGTGTATATTACAAAATGATTGCCACAAGGTTATTTAGCACCTGCATCCCTCACATAATTATAGTGTTTTACATGTATGTTGATAATATTTAAGAACTGACCTGTGAGTTTGAGCCCCATATTGTGCTCTGTGCTGATGGTGTGGAGCCTACATGGGATTCTCTCTCTCCCTTTTTTTCTGCCCCGTCCATGCTCTCTCTCTCTCTCAAAATAAATAAACTTAAAAAAAAACAAAACACATGGAATGGTCAATACTGTTTCCTCCTTTTATTGATGTAAGGTGGAACCTTGTTTGAATTTGCATTTCTTTTTTTTTTTTTAGTACTATTCATTTACTATTCAATTTCTGTGATATCTTTTCACATTGTTGGTTATTCTGCTGTTTTTTCTTCTAAATTTAAATTACTTAACATTAGATAAATTAATAGGTAAATTTTGTTATATTTGATATTAGGTTTTTAATGCTGTATAAAATTTCCTGTCTATAGTGGAGATTGAACCACCCACAACTTTTCTAGGTTTTAGATGAATTGAAGGTGATACCAAAATGAAGTTCATTTTGGCTAGTATGGTTTAACTGTGTTGAATAGCTTGAAACAGCTTAATTTTATTTATTTATTTATTTATTTATTTATTTATTTATTTATTTATTTATTTATTTTAACAAGCTCTCTTTAATAAAAGGAAAAATAGAAAAACAACCAAATATGTACAATATTTTCTGTGTCATTCTCATTATTCATCTGTTAAAATTGATGGCACTGTTGTATGTATAGTAATTTACAGAATTCATATTGTTAAATAACTTTAATTTTATTTATTTTTATTATTTTTTAAAAATTTACATCCAAGTTAGCATATAGTGCAACAATGATTTCAGGAGTAGAATCTAGTGATTCATCCCTATATGTAACAAACACCCACTGCTCATCCCAACAAGTGTCCTCCTTAATGTCCCTTGCCCATTTAGCCCATCCCTCCACCCACAACCCATACAGCAGCCTTTAGTTTGTTCTCTGTATTTAAGAGTCTCTTATGTTTTGTCCCCCTCCTTGTTATTATATTATTTTTGTTTCCCTTCCCTATGTTCATCTGTTTTGTATCTTAAATTGTTCATATGAGTGAAGTCATAGGGTATTTGTTTCTCTGACTAATCTCACTTAGCATAAACACGCTAGTTCCATCCATATTGTTGCATATGGTAAGGTTTCATTCTTTTTGATTGCCAAGTAATACTCCATTATGTATATATACCACATCATCTTTATCCATTAATCTGTTGATGGACACTTGGGCTCTTTCCATACTTTGGTGCTGCCAGTGGCACAGCTATAAACATTGGGATGCATGTGCTGTTTTGAAACAGCACACCTGTATCCTTTGGATAAATACCTACTCGTGCAATTTCTGGGTTATAGGGTAGTTCTATTTTTAATTTTTTGAGGAACCTCCATATTTTCCAGAGTGGTTGCACCAGTTTGCATTCCCACCAGCAATGCAAAAGGGTTCTTCTTTCTCCGCATCCTCACCAGCATCTGTTGTTGCCCAAGTTGTT